TATTGCCGTGTTTCAACTGATTAGCTAAGACAATGATACTCGATTACAAACGAGCAAGTCGAAAACTTTTAACTTTGCACAGTCGGTGTTCTCCTCCTGCGCTGCAATTACGACTACTGTGCCTCAATCTGAGATTGCGTACTTACCCTAGAATCTACGCCGATTATGCCACAATGTGCACAGTGCGGGTTTTATCGAGCGCTGTTGAAAATTGCCCTTTAATGGACTTTTGATAATGTCTGACATTGATTTTTCATGTGCCTTGTCGTAAAAAGGCCGTGGTTATCTGTGCTACCGTTCTCCGTTGCCGAAGTTTTACTGATTGCTCCATGTTTTTGTTTTCATATACTTTACCTCCTGGCAGATTTTCATATTTGGGTTAACCTAAACACGCTGTTAACGAATCCGAAGGGTTTTCATTTGTTAGGAAATGGGTGACGTGACCAGTTTCGAGGGCGCTGTGCTTGTTTGAGTGCGCTGTATCTTTCGGACAGTCCATCATTGATCTTTTGGTCTCACGCACCATTAGCGCTTTCGTCAATCCCCCCTCATGTTTTCATTTCGTCGGTCGGAACTTACTGGCGGGCTTCGAGGGTTTACACCATAGCTCAGGATTGTCTGAATAAGAATCGAAACGAGCTATCTGCAGTTGGAGTGAGTTGTTCTGCTTGGAGGGGGCATTTGCACTTCCGTTGGTTCTTTTGTTGGTTCATGTTAACTAGCAGGTCTTCAGTCAAACCTGTAAACACCTGTGAAGCTGCGAATTTGCGAGTGTGCCAGCTTTGGTCACAGGAATTGCCAGGTTTTCATAAGGTGTCCTGTAGGACGTGCACCTTTTTTATTGTTTTTTATTTTTCATTTTCCTCTTTAATATTGGAGGATTTCTGAAGAGAAATAAATCTAACGAGGCGCTCTCCTTGCTTCGGTGCGCTTCCATCTCTACGATGTTCGCTTTTGATTTTTTGATTGTTCGATCTCACGCGGTATTAGTGCGTCCCCGTTCGCTCACTACGATGACTCATTAGTTGTGGTGTCTCATCACGCATTCTCATATATTGTAATAAAAAAAACGTAAAGAACTTACCTGGTTAAGAAACTTTGGCGCCGTTCATAAAGGGGGCATTTGTAATAGACCTATAATGTTCCTTGTTGACGCTGAATGCGTGACTGGCCTCAGAAAACTGACAGATCATGCCATTCTTGCTGGTCCTCAAAACGCTGACATCAAAGTCTGAACACACTTCTCATGGTTTTGCAACTGATCCATGCAGAGAAACTGAAAAATAAGTCCACGTACCCATCAAGGGCGCGTACACTTGCCCTCATTCAATTAGACAAAGGCACCTTCCGTCTAATCCAAGTTTCTTCATTTTACTTAATTTATTATACGAAATTACTACTATTTATGAGATTAGTAATTATTCTAAAATGATCGGCTTTCATTCAATAATTGAGTTCCCCGGAATAAGTTATCAGTATTCGATCATCCGAACAGATTAAGAAACCTTTCTAGCTCTTTCTGATGTAAAATATTCAAAACCCTGCTACGAGAAAGTGCGATGTCTTTGCTCAAGTTCCTCAACATTTCCTAATACATCTAATGATTTCCATGTTGTCTCTCAGCTGATTGAAGTCATCATTTGCCGTTTCCTCTTAAATTTGATTTTTTTTGATAAACCGCCACTTCACACCCTACAAACACTCGCATTCGATCTTTATTTTGCCTTGCATGCGTTGACATTTCACTTCGTGCAGCAATCAAATTTTTTGGATATCCCCTTGGAAATATTTGAAGATTCGCTATTGTTACAAATGTCATTTCAGTCCATTTCGGTTTCTTTTCCTTATTTTTATTTTAGTTACTGTTTTTCTGAGTTTTGCACGATAAACCTAAAATCGCATAAGTACTCTATTATTGGGCAAAAGTAACCTCAACATTTATCAGATGTCAAGGTAATATATATTACATATGAAGTCCGGTAATTATCATGGTAGGCGTCTCAGCGTCAGGAGATCCATGTTCGGCGTGCACGTAGCAAATATTTGCGTCCCTAACGTTCTTAACGATAAGACGTTAAGAAAGTCAACACTGCTTGTGAAATCACTTCCTTTGTTAAATGTTCTCTGTCTTGCCTCGGATTTTTCAGAGGGACCTTCAATTATGAGCTGATTGAATCATCCCTGGGCTACTCGTTGACCAGATCGATGCTGAAAACTTAGGTTTTGACCCCTCGATTGACATAGTAAGTGTTGCGGTGTATTGTTGTGAAGGATAGAAAAGAGAAGAGTTATGTACACCTTCTACAACTTACACAAGGACATGACTGTTCTTTTAGCACACCACTATAAACATATTCAGGCCCTACTGTTTGAAAGACCTACTCGAATTTAAGGGCGAAGGGATGGATGGTGGTGTGTCGTGGTGTGATAGTAATCATGCCAACGAACAGTTAGAGAGCAGGTTCAATGATCTCCTTTTGTTCTTGCCAGAATATGTCGTTTCATTGCAGGTCGTTCGTCTTGACTACTATAGCTTCTGAGTGCCACCCAGATATTCTGAAGCAGAGAACGGCACAGGCACTGTTCTTCTCTGGCACCATAGAACCAAATGGACACCATCGCGATTTGAATCAATGGAGTAGGGAGAGTAAAGGGTTCCGTAAATAGGCCACTGTGGTTATTTTATAGCTGTTTTCCTAAATCAGGACTAAGCCCTTTCCCTATGCACTCCACACCACGAGGTGGGAATACGTTCTGTTCGAAAAAAAGAAACTCCATTATTAAGTGACCTGGCTTCGATGCTATGCTCGCACCGTCACCAGAGATCAATCTAACTATGTTTCAAAGGGTTAGTTTTTCTTCTTACGTCTGGCTTCGATGCTTGCTCGTTCGTCATCGAGATCATCTACTATGTCTTCAAAGGGGTGTTTTCTTTCTTCGGCTTTTTCGCCTTCGTCCTTTGGTTGTCGCTCCTACGAATGCAGGATGTTATACAGCGAAGGCGGGAAAACAAGTATGTAGATTGTGTAGCATGTGCAGCACTTACACCAGGACCTAATAGATTTGACGCGTAAGTGCTGCAGAATTTCGAGTCAACTAGTCAGGGAATATTCTGCTAGACTGTGCGCCTCAGCATCTCTTACACATACAACTCGGACAGTCGGGGAAAGTGGTTGTAATTTTGTCGTAAAGGTTGAGAGTGGCACGTTTTGAAAGTTCTCGACGTGTGTGACACGGTCTTGCGGGGCGGCAGTCCCTTTATGTTTGCTATTCTCTGATGTTTTCATAGCTTGGCTTGTGGCTTGCTGCTTTTGGAATAGCGAAAGCATTGTTGTCGTCATGAATAATGAAATTCAAAGCATTTCCGTTCCAGCGTATCACATGTTCTTGCGTTAGGTGTCGAAATGTTTTAGCACACGCTATGCCACTGTCACTCTCAGAAAAAAGGACAAGAATGAGTCCGATCAATCCTTTTTGGGTTGCGCCACGCATTCTATCTCAATACAGGATCGTGGTGGCTTACTGGATGCAATGTGACTTATTCAGTGACTGGGGAGGGGGGGGGGAGGGGCAGCCGATGTACAAGTCAGACTTTTGTGCTCCTAGACGATGCAGCTTTGGGGAAAGCATTTTGCACTTCCGCTATTTCCCAGCGCCGTGTCAGCCATAAACTAGAGTTCTGAAATGTGAAGTCATGAGTTATACTAGTCAGTGTTGTAGAAACCACTGATCAGCTCTTGTGAAGAAAACACCTGTCAACCTTTGTAAAGCAATGGCACGCGGAAGTAGTGAGAGCGCAACTGCCCCCCCCCCACAAGCCGAACTGCGGGGCGTCAGGGGCAGATTCGTCCCTGACGTTTTGGGAGAGCTCGTGTGTCTCAAAACGCTTTTTCGCTCGTACTTGGAATCTTCTTTTTTTCTCCCAAGTATGAGTCGAGCCTCACTATTCCCTCTTGGATATTCCGAAGTTTTCGCGGCTTCACGGGACTTAACGGACCATGTCGCCCCATTGGTGGCAGTTCGCCTCCCTATTTGTCTCGCCCTGAAATATAAAGGCTATTTCTTGTCACGATTCAGTTTTTACACCGTCCACTTCCGTTTTTTTTCATTGTAGGACGTTACTAACACTTGAGTGGCGGGAAGAAACCATGAGTAAATCCGAGGCGGCAGGATATCGCTTTGCTGGCTAAGACGAGCAGATCCCGAAAAGTCGTTCAGGGAGGCTGCCAGATCTCTATTTAGGATGTTTTCCATGTTCTTTTTTCCACTTTTTTCCTCCCCTGGAGAGATATTTAGCGACTGTAGGTCGGTTATTGAATACCACTATCCAGAATGCAAGCGCGGGGTTCGCTTTAATAGAATCCACCTAATTAATATGTGCCTATTCCTTGTCGTAGATCCTAAATCCTTCCAATTCTCCAGAGGGGAACGCACGTGACCTCAGAAGAACGGAGCGTGCGTCATGGAAAGAGGAAAAAAATCGCATAAAGAAAACGCAAATGGAATGTTGATTCCTTGACTGATGTCTGCAGCACTCTTTCCTCACATGTGCATTGCGACTCTAAAAGCATGAGGAGAGGTTGAGTGCTTTTCGAGAATCTGGCTGCTTCTAATATTCGAACCCTGTCAAGATTTTGTCCTATTTGAACTCCTGTCCTAAAGATGATCACTGTGAACTGAAAGGCATGCATTTTTTGTTCAACCTTCGCGCTCTGAATCTGTCGTTTCTATTATTTCATTCATCGATCATTGATAACGATATATCATTTTCGCTATGTTTCTTATTTCATTTACTTTTGGGAATCGCATCCACTCAGTGCTTCTCTTCACTGTTATTATCTGTTAGCATGGCTATCTATTTTCCTTCCTCTCGCTTCTTTCTCCCTCCTTTTCCTTCTTTGGTCGACTAAACGAAACTGCGGTAAGGAAGTGCTTGTGTACCGTCGCAGGGAGAGAAGTTCCGGTTATCAGACGCTCTATGAGTGTTCGGTCGCGTTCATACTCTGCGACTGAGGAGATTCGGCGATTTGGGAGACCTGGCTTCGAGAAATCGCGCAGCGACGAAGGTATGAATATCAAACTGGCCGCTAAGAAGATAGAGCGATCCGGCGATTTGGGAGACACGGCGTTCCCGGACACTGCGCGCCAAACGAGTGGATAGTTATCGATCGGCGCCGGTTTTTCGCGATTGCGGAGGTTCGGCAATTTAGGAAACTTAGCATCCAGCGCTTCGAGAAATCGCCGGATCGCTCAATATTCGCAGTCATCAGATCGATACCTTGTTCTTCTTGTTAGTGCAATCTATCAGAATCACCGAGAGCCCTCCTTAATCGCAAAGTATGAACGCGGGCTTAGTATAACGTTCAAATCTAACATTAGAAACAGTTGTGCAAGTAAAATGTTTTGGTGCAGGTGCTCATATCGAAGGTCCTTTTATTTCGCGTGCGAAAAGAGGATGTCATCCACCGGAGTTTATAAGAGCGTTTGGCGATGATCCAGTAGAATCGATACGTGAGGTGAGAATCTTCGACCCATTATCATTACAGTTCGTATTATAATTCGGTTCATCGTATGACTCTGTGATGGGCTTGGATGGGTAGTAGAACACGAAAGGGAAATATCGGATTTCAGGTCTATGGTGATGTGACGAATGCCGCTATTGTTACGTTAGCACCGGAATTGAAAGGCAGTGAGAAAGCCATAAGGTATGTGACTGCTTTCGCTGATTTCCTTGTGCAGCATGATTAGATTTTTTATAAGGTTATGTTTGGGAGAGCAGGCGCTATAGAGCACCCCCAATCACAGGTGAAATTTAGTGAACGTAAACAATTTTGCATACCGTTATCGTTATCGTTTTGATTACTCAAGTTTATCCTGTGTTATACGCCTTTCCCATAACTTGGCTAATGCATGTTTCCTTATTGGCCCGGACTGTTCAAATGTAGTGCTTTTACCATTGCTTACCTTTAAAGATTTCCATGGTATCCATGGGAGGCATGGGTAGTGATTGATGGGGGCCACCAATGTGCCCCCACAAACGCGAATTGCTTCGTGCCCCTTCCTTCGTCCAATCATTTTTCGGGTGTTGGCAGATGTTTCATTCCTCTTGAGTCCATCTGTAAATTATGTTGTGAAGTTTTTTTCATTACTTTGTGTTCATCTCGATGAAACCATTTCTGAATTTTCTGTTGCGTTCTTTGGGCTTTGAGAATTATCACAGATCTGAACGTTCGGAAGCCGTGCTGAAATGATTTTTTCAGATATTTCACCGACAAGGGAATAGTTGTCTCGCTTGGTCACTCGTCTGCGAAACTGAAAGATGCAGAAAATGGAGTGAATAGCGGTGCTCGTTGTATAACTCATCTCTATAATGCTATGCATTCGGTTAGTTACATTAGTCGTCTCTTGAAAAGTCCTTTAGCATGCCTCGAGTTCCTCTGGTGCTAAGGATTGGGGAGGAGATAAAATGACACGGCAAAGCTTGCTCTTCTGCACTCTCTCAATTAGATACACTCCCCTAACAGCTCCCCCTAAAGAATGCAGACGGCCAGAGTGAGGGCGTACCCTTCGGAACCCCTTCAGCACCGAGTTTCGGGTATGTGACAAGACAATCGTAGTATGCCGTGCTGCGTCGCATCGCGAGCGGCGTCGCGCACGCGAGAGATGAGTTATCCTGCATCGAGTTGGCGCGGCAGATTGCGATTGTGTTGTCCGCCTTTCCCTAGTGCCGCCGTACTTTTATCGTTACTTATTGTTCAGTATCATCATAGAGATCCGTGCCTCATCGGCTTGCTGGCATCGAAGATGTTGGGCGATCGGCCATGACTCAGCCCTGAGGAATTGCCTATTAGGTCGTAATTATTTTACATTGGGTGCTCGTTATTGTACATGCTTGGCTAGGGTTTATTACTACTACCTTTCATCCTTTGGAATCGACTACTACTTGTTTGGGGCATGTCGGTTTGGAAATGCATGTTGCAAACTCGCAAGCGGTGTCACATGCGCGTCATTCGAACCGAGTCACGTCAACGTGGATCTCTCAATAATCCTGGTTTGTGTGATAAACCGTAGAATTGCTGTACGTTTTTCTTTCCAGGACCAGCCCTGAAGGACTGATCCTGGTTACGGATGCAATAGCAGCATTGGGAATGGGTGAAGGACGCCATAAACTGGGAGATGTCGTGGTGGACGTTGTGGGACTCAAGGCCGTAGCGGTAGGAACGGATACTACAGCCGGCAGGTTCGCTTTCACCAATTGTTTTTTGAACCTTGGAGGTTTATAATGATTATTTTAGCGTCGCTTCAATGCCGCATTGTATAAAACATCTTGTCAAAGCAGCTCGATGTCCTTTAGAAGAAGCACTCATATGCGCAACAAAGAAACCAGGTTGAATTTTTATTTTACTACATTTGACCTTTTTCGAGAAATTCTTGCTCTGGCGACGGGGTAATAACGCGCCAGCATACGAGGATCTAAACGAATTTACGTAGAATAACAAAAACGCCTAGTCAACTAGCTAGAAATAGCCCTTCCACGACCTCAGCGAATGAGGGGCGTGTCAGATAGAATGCTTTCGGCGCGGTAGCCAAGCCCATTCTTCACCAGTTGTTTTAGTGAGCAAGCGACAAGACAGTATAATATCAGTTGTATCAGTCATTTTTCTCCCATTGTTACCCGTTTTAATAACGGATGGAGAACGTCTGGAACTGCACCAAACCCATCTAACCTGACACGCCCCATCCGCAGCGAAGAATGCTATGGTTTATACGCGTCGCCCCCACCCTTTCCTCAGAAGTTCCTCCTTTAGTACGAACTCCCTTCCTCCTGCCTACCATTTCTTGAATTCTACCATCTTCTTGCCACTTTTCCCAAGCTCTTCAACAAACCCTAATTCCTCCCTCGAATAACTTCCATTGAGCGCAGGGAGAGGGGGATATATGTGTAATTTAAGCAGTCAAGTCGACAAAAGGCGAAAACCGAGAACATTTTCCACAATGCGAGATACGATCCCTCCCTCTGGTAACAGAATACGGCCGTCATCATACGGATTCTCAACGTATGACGTGTCCTGTCTGGAACACCCTTTCTTTTTATTCTTGTGCAGTTTTACTAATCCTTCGACTTTTTCAGCCACCCTCCTTGGAATCCAAGATAGAAAAGGTATCATTGCTGTGAATGCGGATGCTGACTTGGTACTGATATCAGACAATGTTGATGTAAAAGCCACTTATGTATCTGGAAAACTTGTGTATGCAAGATAGCTAATAATCCAATCGTTAAATGTACATAGTAAAACCTTGAGATGATGACTATTGTATTGCCCATGTATGAATTATAAACGATTAAATCACGTCGTATCGAAGCATTATCGTGTGAATGGTCGAACAGCCTGGTGTCTCTTTCCACCTTGTCAACGGTATGTCTATGAGAAATTCGTTTTTGTTGTTGTTTTCGGGTCATGCCGAATGATGCTGAACAGGACCCAGCTGTGGCGGAAGATCGTCGTGGTAGTAATGCTGCCATCGCCAATGCCGATAACGAGAGCATGAACGATGGCCGTGCATTAGTGCCATCGGCGACTCGAAGCGGTGATGTCATCTCGTGAGTTGATTGTTGTTGAAAAATTCTGTCATTTGTTAAAAAACTTTTCCACTAGTTCTGTTTTGTAATCCTTTAATCGTTAAAACTAGGCTTGGCAAAGTTATAGTGGGAAGGACACGCCACGGCGCAACTAGTGTAAAAGCTCGTCCCTATCCCGGTGCTCCCTGCCACCAGTGCAAAGACTCCTCCCCCTATAGGCTCAGAGCGCTAGATAGCCAAGTTGAGGGCCAGTTCTAGTAGCACCACCATTCGCAGCAAGATAAACCTAGGCGACTTGAGTGCTTAGTCAGCGTTCAGACTTCGCGACGGCAGCTTTCTGTCGCGTGTTCGGCGCGATCGATGCGCATGATTCTCGGTCGCATGTTCGGCGCGATCGATGCGCATGATTCCTACTGCATCAATCGCGTGAACGCTGCCTTACTCATAAGGGGCGACGGATTGGTGCTGTGAGCCTGAATAAATTTGTCGGTTTTGAATGAAAGGATATGCTGTTTTTTTTCTGCAGACTGCCCTCAACATATTTTCTTGCGACGAAGTTGGCGAACGCAAGTTGCAAAAAAAGATAGCTATGCACTCACTTCAGTGGATCGTGGTCCTTGCCATGTGTGAGCTGAATAGGTGCAGCTGCAGTAGCGTGCTGCTTTCTCCGGTCGAAAGTGCACGGGAAGGGGCCAGGAAGGAAATCGGTCGCCATCTCCAAACTCCGCTGCTGCGCTGCTGCACCGCTAGCCACACGGTTAACCATAGCCAAATCGCTATTTGTCTACATCCTCTCACTTCCAGTTGTTCTCTGTCGCTGAGTGTGTGTTTAGTTGATGTTTAGCAGCGGGATCTTGGTATTGACGAAAGTGCCGTACAGTTAGGATAGCGCGGCCTGATCATGGAAATGGTTACCACTATTTCCTCGTTGTCGCCTCCCCCCCCCCCCCCTTGCGTATCCTACCAAAATGGGGACGCGCTAGTAAGGGAACGCAGTGGTCGAGGGTCACCGCCCAAAAAATGTTTTTGGTCACGTGTAAATGTGCTGTATGCGGACTTCGATTTGTGCCCTCGATCTGGAGCTATTCTTGGAACTGAGGATCAGGGAAGCAGTTGTAGTAGAGCGCATTTCCAGCATGAAATTCTTTCTAATTCTCGTCTCTCTAAAGTTGGTATCACTAAGATCGGTTGAAGCAGCTTATTTTGCTCGTAATCAGTCAAAAGGTGACTTCGATCTGAATGTACTGTTTTCGCAGAGTTTTCGTTTTAGCGAGATTATATTCAGACCAACGAGAGCCGTTCTGACCCTATCAAAATCGATGTTCAACGCTGGATGCTTTTCCCTACCGTATGCATGGAAGCTTGGAGGTCTTTGGGTGAGTCAGGTCTTTCTTTCTCCAAGATCTATTTCGTAATAGTTTTGTAATGGAATAATGCATTGGTTCAATGGAAAAAATCTTAATGTGTGAAGCACACTATTGATTCCACTGGAAGGCTTTTGTCCTCTTTCAATTGAATTTTCAACAATCGACGCAATGAGGGCTACTGGCTAGAGACATGTTAACATTTCTCTGCAAATTCCTGCAAGCTAGTTAATGCTTACTAGTTTCATTTTCGAACCACTTCTGCTTAGAGCAGTTGGTTCACCGAGCCTACAGCTCTTTCTTGGTTAGGCTCAGACAGAAAGCCTGAACTTCCTTGCTCACGGTTCTTTCTTTGTACCTTTGAAGTCCAACTTTCAAAAGAATCATACGAACACTGTTGAGAAGTGGAGATCGTACTATTTCTTAGCTTGGACGCTGTTCGTTGGAGGCGTTTTGCACATTTGCTATTCTCTCTTGCTAGTTCACGTTATCTCAGCTGAAAAAATGTTGTGAAGTTGCGAAATAGTGCAAATGAGCCACTTCGATAAAACAGTTGACGTATCTTCACAAGGTGACTTGTTCAAAGCTCTTTGACTCGTTTGACCCCCCCCCCCGCACCAAGCCGAACAGTGCCTACAGATCTTCCAAAAATGGCCGGGGTATGTTGAAAGGATTCAACGAAGTGCCCTCCTCCCTCTTGACCGAGCTGCGCTCGAAAATCTGTTTTTTTTTCTTCATCAATTTGAACAACCTTCAGCATTCATTTTCTCTTTGACGAAAAAATAATGCATACTATTATTAGAATCCTTTTGATGCTGCTGATTTATCTTTATTGTTAGGTGTCATTCGTCCTGTCGTTCGTCATAGCAGGTTTCAACTGGTATGGAAATCATATTCTCGTGCGAGCAAGTCAACACCTAGCAAAGAAGTGAGTGAACAGAAGATTTCCTAGGTCAGGGCATGTCTTACGTTGGAGATCCCCAGCAAGGGTATCGTATTTGATTGCTAGGGGTGTGTTTACTAGCTGGCTTTTCACTTTTTTTTCTCCTTTTACGTTCGCTATATACCTCCGCCTCCTCAAGAGCACATCTTTTGGGTACAATAAGAGGAACTTCAATACAAAACTTCGGGAAGGTGGTAGGGAGTAGGGAAAGCTTAGGAAGATGGTTGGTAGGTTGGCAAAGTGGGTCGCATCAGAGAAGAAACCTTCGAAAGTAGTCGCGTTTTGCAAAATTTTTCCCCAACTGTAGGACGTGCCGTGTGCTATATCGAGGCAGTATATCACTTGAAAAATTACTGCTCTGAAAAAATACTGTGATGTTGCAGATCAGAGCGTTCAGCGTTGGATTATGGTCACTTCGCTAAAAAAGTTTGTGATTATAGTGATATTCGTTTTCTCAGAAACAATAGTAAGGCGGTCATGTGAGTTGCTACCATTTTTTATTCATTTTTTAAACTTTCATAGATGGCCTAATAGCTGTTTCCTGGTCTCATGGGACATGCAAGTATCGCAAAAAAATTCATAGTGATTGGTTATTTATAAACGGGAGCTGTCGTAATAAGGGAGCTAGCGGATTTCCGCTAGCCTTTAGGCCTAGTAGCTCATTGCTTTGGCACTGTTTGCCATTCAGTACCCCAGCATTTCAAATTCAAGGTCTTTTTCACATAACTTCTTTGTCGTGGTCGCTTTGGCCAAACCCTTGCCTCGGAGATGTGCCCTCATGAACCCGAATTTCATTCTCTTGTAGGACGATAATGCTCGCGCGCTTGCCACGGACATCCAGACTGGCATGCAGGGCCCGTCTTTTCGATGGGGAGATGTTTTTTTGTTGAATGCCCAGATTTATTCTTCCAATACGACCCCCCCCGCCCTTCCCCATCCTACCTGCCATGTACCTCAATTCTCACAACACCCTACCAATTTTCCGAAAAAATTTCCAGTTTTTACCCAAAATTTCAGCCGAAGGGGGTATGTATATGGCACATATTGAACGGGAAAGCGAATGCAACTGGAAAGACCCTATTATTATAGGCTCAGATACGACCCCTTTATCCCCCATAGCGGTTTCCCAATCATGAATAGTGCGCGTAAGAAAAATCAGTTGTTGAAAAAATTCTCGAACCAAATACGACCCCCCCCCCCTCTCCTTTCAGCGACAAATACCACCCGCGCTGGGGATTCGTCAAGTGTTTGGTAATTGGAGCATTTAGTGCGGATGCCGTTGGCTTAAGCGGATTATTTTCCTGAAGTTTTTGCGTAGAACCTTTTTATGATTGTGGTAGAGAAGCACTATTATTATTGGCGTGATTTGTGACGAAGCATATTATAATTTTATGTTTAGGTATGTTGTTAATGTAACTATTCTATTCTATCAACTTGGAATGTGCAGCGTAGCTATACTTTTCATATCGGACAATATGGTAAAGTTTCTGCTATTCTGAGTCGTTAAAAATAGTAGTACGACCTGGTGATTGCACCCAGGGCACGCCATCGTTGTGATAATTGTAACGGGGGGGGTCGTATTCGGTCTGAGAAAATTTTTTTGGTAGTTGATTCTTGTTCAGGGACGGTATGGGGGGTGAGGAGCGAGGGGTCGCATTTGGCCGTTGTTGACAGAGGGGCTGCGAACAATCTTTACAACTACTATTTGCGGCAGTTGAAAATGATAGTTAAATCCTGACGACCTACCCCTTCCCTCCCCCCCCCTCGACAGCAAAATTTTGGGGAAAACGGAAGAAAATTCCGGAAATACTGGTAGGAGGTCAGGGAAAATCTGAGAAATTTTCCTGTTTCACTCTGTATACGGTATATACTCCCTCCCCCTCCCCCCCCCTCGCCCCGCTCGACGGGAAAATTCTTGGCTGAAAAACTGAAAATTTTTCGGGAAAAAGTGGTAGGAAGTTGGGAAAATCTAGGAAAGTGGTAGGAAGTTGGGAAAATCTAGGAAAGTGGTAGGTAGCACGCATGGGGAGGAGGCTCGGTTTGAGGATAGAATTAGGGGGGGGTATTTTTCAGGAAATGATCACAACGCGATGGTGTGCCCTGGTTGCAGCAAACGGTACTCAGCTAAGTTTGTCACCTTGTAACGACCTGTAAGTTCCCGTGATGAATGTGACTTACTAGAGTATCGCAGCTTCGCAGGAGTTTACAGGTCTGACCAAAACGAAACCTGTCTTCGACATGAGCCAACAAAAGGATTTAGCAAGCACATTCAAAAATATTTTTCAGGTACACTTATTGGGTGATCAAGTCGGTGGCGATCGCCATTCGCAGATGATCGTAATGGCGTCAATCACACTAGTATTCATTATGATAACGAATATGTTCACTGAAATGCGGGTAGTAGTATCGGCCTTTGCGCTGGTGTCATCCGTGTTCTTCATTATTGGTGCAGCAGTGATCATGCAATATACCATTAGGTGAGCGTACGACTTAGTACTCTGGTACTTTTGGGGCACGGTGGTGGCTAAAAAGCTCGCCCTGCTTGCAAAAGTGGTCAGTTTGCGGCTCAGATACTAATGATGATATGCTCTTACACACACTTTCCCTTATTATCACCATTCAAAACGGATAGGGCCAGTCGCGGAACTACTGCTCTCCTAAAATACTTTTGAAAATTGAAGTTGGGCGTTGTGGTGGCCCTGGGCGTGGCCGTGGCCTCGTCGCGAGCGGGTCGCGCTTTCCACACGTTTTTTTCAACTGCGAAAGTACTACATCCTTTACGAGTGCGGGGCTACCTTGTCCAAAGAACATCAGTTGATGGGGAGCGTGCCTTTGGGTTCTTGCATTGTTAGGGGGGGGAGGAACAATTCGAATCAAGCTCTGGTTTGTGCTTAATTTGAACTCTATAAAGAGTGAGCTCTTTTGATTCAGGCAGCCGAATCAATGGCGAGAACTACCGGCATATACGAATTTCACGGGTACTATTATGATGATCGGTATGAGTATGTACTCGTTTGAAGGACAAACTATGGTAAGGTTTTTCCTCATCCTTAAAAGTTTATTGATACCTAATGTCTGAGGGCACGTGAAAACGAAAGCTATCTCTTTGAACATCCCCACCGCCATCAAAATTGCGTCAAATAGCTTTTAGTCCCCTGATCCCTGATCAGTGCACGTCGTACGTTGGAGATACCCCCAGCGAAGGGAGGGAGGAGAAGGATGGCAGAATTTGTTCGCTGTTGGGGGGGGTTGCATTTGATCTTAGGGAAATGTTTTCATTTGTTGGCTTTTCTCCGTTTTCCTGCTTCAGGTGCATTATGGGGGTGGGGGTCGCACCAGAGGAGGGAAATTTGAGAGGGGGTTGTATTCTGCAAAAATGTTCCCAAACAGTAGACGTGCCCTGCTCCTAAAAAGGAGAACGTTGACCTAGTTAGGGAGGAGAGGCGGCGTTGGCACGAGGTACAA